TGTGGAAGAGGAAAGGAGAGAGAAATTAAAATGGCTTCATCTTAAAGCTTCTTTACACTCCGAGAGTGGTGTAAAGAGTCTTTTGTGTAACAGGTTTCTCAAGCAACTTAGATGTTGGGTTTGCTTTGATGTGTGGTATCTTCCCTACCAGCACCAAAAATGTAGGGCGTAGCCTAGGTTCTGAGCAGATTTTAACCATAGGTTAACTGTTCCATCAGAAACTGTTTTAACCCATCAGGAGAACAAAATAGTCCTTCATGGATGGGGCGTGAGACAAATCAAGACATGCACTGAGAATTTCTTGGGTAAATTCAGACTCAAACACAACACTGGATTCCTGTTTAAAATCATATTTTGTTGAGTAGATTCCAGTGCATGAAATTGGATCAGGAGTTTCATCTGCATACATCCTGGAAGTTGTAGCATTGTGGTGCCCTGGTTGGTGTTCCTTTCAACCCCTTGAGTATGCTATATTTGGCCATAAAAAGGCCATTTGACTGTGTTGGGACAGATTGTGGTCATGTGTTTTTTTTTCAGCCCTAACGTTTATAGAAATTCTAGGTCATTTCAACAATAATGTGATATTTCCTGTTGTCTCTTAGGAAAAGGAGCTGGGTTTGATTCCCCTCTTTGTGACTAAGAAACTAAGGGGAGGAGGGAGGGAAGGAGGCAGCAAAATTTCAGAGATCGGTGTCTTTTCAAATATTGGTTGGCAGCAAAACATTGTCAAATGTTCTATTGGACATGGGGTCTCCTGCGTTCGAAGGGCAGAGAGGGGAATCTCTCGAAGCTTGAGTAGGATGCTGAGAAACTAGATAAATTTCACAGAGCACAACTTCTCCGGCAGTGTACAGGGACCTCCTCATTGAGTCAGTTATAGTTGTGACTACGTGGAGGCCCTTTTATGCTGCCAGAGTGGTGTAAAGGAGAAAGGGGAAAGGTACAGATAACTGAATAGAAATAATTGGACAGCAAAAGTCCATAGAGTTTTCCAGTGGAAATCAAGTACCATTGCATATGGGAACAGGTATAAATTGGGTTGAATGGAAATAAGGCCAGAGGGAAAATCTTGCAACCTACCATCCCGTTGCTTTGCCAGAGCAATCCGAGGTCAACTCAATGCAAATTTCATACTTGATTCCCATCTGTATAGTAGGCTAAAGCCAAACACAAGGGGCTTGGTTCTTCTCAGGCCTGCTTCTTGAGTAATTCCTAAGGCTGCTGCGAAGTGAGTGTAGAATGTTGCTGTCTCGCGTTTCACACTCACATTGCACTGACGTCAACGAGCGAATAAGGGGCCAGCCAGCCGCAAATCAGGGAGCTAGAAAGCCAGATCAGTGTTGTGGCCTGAGCCCACTTCTGGACTTAGGCAGTGAAGTACGTGGGATCAAATCCACCACTGGTGTAAACTGCAGTTAGTAGAACCATGATGAAGCTGTTGGTAGTGGGGGTAGGAAGTCATTTTGGAATCCCTGGATTGGAGGGATGGCTATGTTAATTGAGTTCTTTCTAAATGTTGGCACTATTACTACCGCTTGTTCCTTCGAGCTTAGCAGAAATCTCCTCCATAGAACGTACTTTACCAGCAACAAATCACATGGTTTTCTGAAATTTTGCATATCAAGGGTCTTATCCTAACTCCCCTAACCCTGAGTTATACAGCCGTAAAGCAATATTACTACCCAGAAGGTCACGTGGGGATACAGGGCAGAATTAAGTGTAAACTAGAGCTGATGAAGAAAAAAACCAGAGTGTCTGTGTTTCACACGAGGAAGCAAAGACAATTGTCTTAACTTCCACACTGCTGAAAAATCTCATCCATCATAATAAACAAATGGATTTTTTTATTTAAAAAAAAAAGGCAGGTTTTTTGGTCGGAAAATTCTGTTGAGATCTTGAAAAAAAATCAATGTTGACTAGTTTAAAAACCCACAAGCCCACTCTCAAAACAAATTTCAGCAGTCATTTAAAACCTTTGGACTAGCTCTAGGAGAAACCTTGTAAAACTTTTAATAACCATACGGACGGGTAATATAGAGAGAAATATTTATTTCTTTTAGTGGTTCTCTTAAGAGATATTGCAGGAAAAGTGTGTATATATATATATATGCACATAAATATATCTATGTGGGAGTTCTTCAACTTTTTTTTTTTTTTTTGGTAAATGCAAACTCCCTACATTGCTTAACTCTCCCTCCTAGCTACAAGGGTTCTAGTGAAAGTTTACACAGTTTTGTAACCTGATGGAGTCAAAGAATTTTCAGTTTGCTAAAAGGTTCCCGGTGTGTTTCTTCCCATGCCTTTTTTTTTGTTCCATGCCATTTTCCATTTCATTGTGACATGTCCCACCTCGTCCTCTCTTCCCAGTTCATTCCCCCAAACATTGGGCAGGATTTTGAGAGAGTCCATTTAAAGCATCGGTAATATATTCTTTGATGGCCTATAATTCTGTTTGCCCCATAAAATCAGGGGGTAGGGGAGGAGAAGGAGGTGATGGAGGGAGCTGCCTGAATCCTACCTAGTCTGTTCAGTTGTGGGCCTTTGCTCCATGTCCCAGTTGGCGTATGGCTGTTTAGTGACATGGCTTGGTGGGAGCGGGGGTGAAGAGAAACTGGGAGGGCAATGCCTGGAAGCCAGATCCTATGCTGGGGAAAACATGGGAGTGGGAGCCGTGGGTGCCTGACACTTGAATGGTGGCCTGACGGCTGCACCAAAAGCTGCCTCAGGTGTAAAAGGGGAACAGCGCCCTGGTGAAATGGTGACCCTGCACTAGAGTAACGGTTTCCTCGTTGGGTTTAAGGAGGGCTCCTGCCTTCAAAGGAACAAACTTATATCTTCCGCCCCCCTGGCCTCCTCTAAACAAGGCTCTTTGGCCGAGGCAAGATAAGCCAGGGTAGCCATCCAGGACCTTTAGCACCAACTGCACAGGCCTCTTGTCACTTGAGCAAAAGGAGTGTCTCCCTCAGCCAGTAGCAGTAGCAAGCTCTTATCCTCTGCACAGACCAGCCACTAGAGGGGGACATGGCAGGCTCAGCCAGTCTGTCGCATTAGCTTTGCTGAGAAGGTCGCAGGCTCTGTTTGCTCAACGGGGGGCAGAGGGGGGCACATATGTCTCCTGGTCCCCCGAGACCGTGCTCTAACACTGTTAGTAGGACTCAGTGCATAGTTAGCAGTGGGGAGAGAGAGGGGAGCTCAGGCAGAACAGGGCTTCCCTGTTGTAGAAGGCAGGAGAGTAAATCAACAGGGCTCACTCCCTGAGGGAAGTGAGCCAGGTTTGGGGGAGAGAGTGGCTCATCTCTACTGTTATAAAAGGCCAAACACTAAGTCCAAAATAAAGCCTAGAGTCAAGATGGCTTCTCCCTGTGCCAGGCCCTCAAAAGCCACTTGGGGAGGCCCCTTTCTGGCCATAATAAGATCCCTGCAAGTTGTGTGAGGTAAAAGAAAACCGTTTGCCTGCACTTCTCCCCCAACGGCCCCTGGCAGGCGTTGGGAAGCTAGGATGGGGCCTGGAGAGCTGATGCCGCCCTCTCCAGTAGTGCCAGCTTGCCGTGGGGGTCCCATCTTTGCTTCATAGAGCACCCAAGCTACATGGGAGCTGGGTTAGGAACGGAGCCAGAGCAGGCCTGTCCTGACCCCCTCATTCCCTGCTGCAGAAATAACATGTCCCTCCTCTCTCATCTTCTCATGAGCCATGCCCCCAGCGGGTCTAAAGCAGCGGAAGGCCAGTGACAAGCCAATTGGCACCTGTGGAGGGTTAGGTCATAAATTTCCTTTCTTTCTCATCTGTTTCCATCGCCCCCTTCACTCTCCCTCCTTCCCGCTGTTAAAAAACCAACCGCCCATGCCCCATAAATGGAGTGTTATGTCCTCGCTACCTCTGCCATCCCTCCTTCCGTCTGAAAACGAGAAGCCATGAACCGTTTGTAGAAGAGGTCCTTTCCTCTGGCTTTTCTTTCTTCTGGAGCTCCAGTCTCCCGGTCTCTCTTCCCTTCTCTCTGATCTTTAACTTGTAGTATTTTACCTGGCTACTGTAACTGTAAATAGCAAGTTTCAATATGTTAGCAATGGTAACAGTACATGAAACTGTTTTTCTTTTCCTTTTTCTTTTTGTTTGTTGTTGTATTGATATGAAATGAGATTATATTTTTGTCAGAGTATATTGTAATAATACTGACTTTGAACATGGCCACAACTTGTACAGCTTATTCTTGTTTTACCTTCTGTTGACCTGCCTTTCCTCCCCTCCTTTGTCCCCAGACCTGCTCCGCTTCCCCCGCCCTGGTTTGTTCTGTATCGCAGAATTTCCACCCACCCAGGCGTTGGGTGGCTAGAGGGCCAGGCGTTGGTGATGAATTGAGCAAAGAGAAAACTTGCAACAGAGCCCAGAATGATACTCTGTCAAGAAGTCCTGAAAGCCCAAGCGACCCATTTACCCCCTCCTTTGCACCTTACACCAGTGCAACGTCGGCATGGAAAGCACTAGTGTCCGGTCAGCATTCACGCCGGCTTTGCACAGGTGTCAGTGACAAGGCGAGTTGTGTGTTACAGCTCTCCGGGCTGGGTTGTCTGAGGAATGCACCTGAGACCAAGGGATCTATTTCCCAGTGATTTTAGCAGGCAGCAGCTAAGTCCTCAGATGGAGTAAATGTATTCAGAGCTCTCTTGAAGCCAACTGGGCTGTGCTGATTAATGCCAACGGAGCATTTGGCCCACTATCCCAATGCGATTGCCCCGTCTGGCTTGTAAATAGAAACTAGAATCCCACGGAAGCCTTCAAAATCAGCCCACAGTGATACATAGGCCTTGTGCTGGCCCCTCTGCATGAGGGCGAATTACAACCCCCTCCTCTGGATTCCCCATATGGGACAGAGAAACTGAGGCACTCTCTTTGGATTGGGGCAGAAACAGGCATGCTCAGATCTTGTGGTCTTTGGGGGAGGGTTGCAAAAGGAGCTTCCGGATCCTTTATTTTCCCCTTTTTTATTTCTGTTCTCTGCTAGCGGTGGCTGGATCACGAGATGAATGACCCTGCCACCTCCTTGGCTAAGCGGGTCTTTTAGCTCCCTGCATTAAAAGCCTTTAATACTCTGGTTTCTGATGTGATTGTCCCCCTGCTGGCTTGGAAGGCAGATGTGAAGGCTAGATGGGTGGCATTCAAATTCAGGGGTTCCCTATTTTTGTTAAGGGTGGTCATTTTTTCTTTAAAAATACCCCAAACCCCCAGAGCTGGGCTTGAGACATGAAATGGGGATTGAAACTGTGTCTGGCTGTACTGGGGCGAGAAAATCTCCCAGCAAATTTGGGCTGGCTTGTGATAACAGGCACTAAGCCAGATTCCCAGCTGGTATAGAAATCAGTAGGGTTCCATTGGAGTCAATGGGACAGATCTTTGGCTACTGTAACTCAGGACAGTGTCTGTGAAGTCAATGGAGCTACACTGGTTTTCCCTGGCTGCCCTTTCTGGGCCTCATTCCCATTTACCCAAAGGCCCCTGTACACCATTCTGGCCAGGTAAACGTGCATCAGTGTAAACAAGAATCGAGCAGACTTCTATTTATTTTCCCATCTGAATTTTTTTTGTCTGATCCTTTCCTTTCGGTCTCTCCAGCAGAGAAAACAAATCCGAGGGCAAGACCCATGACCCCCGAATAGAGAAAGGGACCTGCCAGCCCCTCATCTACAGGTCTGGCTCTCATTTAAACACAGATTTCGCCTCAGTATAACTGTATCCGTGAGGGGAGGTGATTGGTAAAATAATCTAGTTATTACAGTGTAACCCTTAGTGTGCATGCAGTTAAATTGGTGCAAAGGTGCCGTGTATTGACATAGTTTATTCTCCTTCCCATATGGGAAATATAATATATATGGGAAATATATCCCATATATTATATATATTATATTTCTCATATGTTATATATTTTATATATATTTCCCATATTTATATATATATATATACACACCATACCAATATAAGCCCCTTAATGCTGATATAACTGCACTCAAGGGTTTTCTCTCTTTAACAATACTGGTATAAAGTGGAGCAACTTTTGTGTGCCTTAAATCTCTTTCACACAACTGTGATAGCAGAAAAGAGGTTTTAGTGGGTACAAATTTGTGCTCACTTTAGGGCCCCTTTACCCAGCCAGAATCATGTAAAACTGTAAATGAGACTCTAGCTCATATTCTCCTTAGGAAAGGCAAACCAGAAAGGGCCCTTTTTGGCCACGCTCGGTGCAATTGCTCTTTGTTGCATCTCCGCCCAGCCCCCTGTTTCAGCCTAGCTCGTGGCCACTGGCGTGATGCTAAAATTCTCAGGATTGTGGTTGGTGACCCTGCAGGCCTCTCTCAGAGCTCTTAGGGATGGTGTTAGCTCCGGGTCCGCTTTCCTGCCTGCTCCCCCCGGCCTCCTCATCCCTGTAAGTTAGATAGATCGGGATAGATGTCGTGTTCTCTGGGCTACGTGCAAAAACCTTTGTAAAATAGAATACACCCTTTAAATTATGCACTAAAAAAAAAAAAAAAACAAAACCCCAACATATATATATTGTGGTGAGTCGAATTTCCTACACAATTCAGCCCGCCTATAAAGTCACGGGCAGCTTTTATTTTCCCGCCCGTGATGGTGCAAATGTACAAAAAATTGTGCACTTCCCTGTATTAGGTTTTATTTATTGTTTAGAAAGGCAATTTTAAAAAGCTATACCGTGTATCTATAAGTATACATACATATATATAAATATATATATTTTTAACCTCTTCTTTCCCAATCCCTGCACCCCATCTCCCAAAGCTCCCTCCCCTTTTTTGTGTGTGAATTAAGGGATTCTGTTCTCTTGGGTGGCGGCACATCAGTTTAAAAAAATCCATGATCTTCATGTAGGAGAGAGATGGGGGGAGGGTAATTTTTCTGGGGTGTTGCCCTTCTTTGATACATCTGGATCGTGGGAGCCCATCGATCCATTGAAAGTAAGAAAGCGGTGGAGAGGTGGATACGTGCTAGTAGCTTGTAAATTTCCATCAAGGATCTTTTACTAATTCCAGCTTTCTCTAGGCGTTTGCATCCCTGGGGTTTGGCCTTCTATATTAATCTCCCAACCCCTGGGAACGCTTTCTTGGTCCACCTTCGCTTTCTTATCCCCAGGCCTATCCTTTCCCCACTCCCACCCCTTGACAATCAATGACTCCTTCCCAGGAACAGCAGCACGTCAGTGAGATGTCTGATTTGTTTTTTCAATATTCCTTTCTTTGTGCTGTATGGTGATGCGTTATTGTATATTACACAATAAGAAAAAGAGATGAAAAAAATGACCATGGAAAAATTCTTATGAGTTTTGTTTGGAAACTCTTTCACTATATTTGTTGTAAAGAGGTTTACTATTAAAAAGAAAAAAAATACACATTTCTGATAACTTTCCTCGCCTCTGATTATTCTTTCCCCTTCCCGTGTCTCTGAGTGGCACGTTCAGTGCAACCATGTGAATGCTAGAAGCGGGACAGGGGAAGGGCCGTAATGACTAGTGCCGGCAGGGAGGAAGAATGTATGGGGCATCGGATTTAGCAAATAAAATGTTGGCTGGGGAACATGGGGAGGGGGGGAGTGCAGCTTCCAAGTCACCGATGGGGATGAGAGTTTATTCATTAGGAATTTCACTGGGAGGAGAGGGTGGGAGAAGTATTTGTTACTTAGAAATGAAATGAAATTTCTTACAAAAAAGAAATGAAATCAGAGGGGAAAAGAATCAAACTTTTTTTTTCAACTAGCTTCATAATGGAATTTCCATCTTTTGGCTCAATGAAAGAGCCGGAAGAGAAAAATAATCCAGGAATTAAGATGCTAAATACCTCCCAAGATATTTAGGATTTTGGCTTTTTAATGTTCTGTTATCTGGAAAATGGGGAAACCAGCACTTCACAGTTGTGTTGTGAGGATAAATGCATTAAAGATGGTGATGTCCTCGGGTACTACAATCTCGGGCCATATAACAAGTTGGTGTAGGTGGCAGACACTAATCCCCATGGACATGAGTGCATTTTGGATCACATTTCAGAACTGGTGATTTTGTTTGCCTTTGGTTTTGCGATAATCTCTAGAGATGTGCTGTTGTGTGGTTTTCGAAATGGGCCCAAATGCTTGTGTGTTTGACAGAGTTTTGAGAATTATTTTTATTTTTGAAAACTGGAAATGCAATTGTTCATTTCGGGGAGGGGAGCTCATATCCCATCCTGGGATTAAATTCAGTTCTTAGTGTGCATGATGCAGCCATAAAAGGGGGAATGAAACCCACCAACCAAAACAATCAAACACAAGGCCTGATTCTCTTGTATAGGAAGCCCTTTTCACCCTCTCTTGCAGTGTAAAGGGATCTTAAAGTGGTTGTAATTTACGCTCACAGATGGCTCCTTTACATGGCCACGGAGGTGTAAAGGGGGATCTGTGTAAATGAGAATCATGCCCAGCAACCAAAGAACAGACTCCACTTGGCATCAACATTTCTGTTAAAATGTTTTGAAAACTTTAAAAAAAAGTGTAAAAAAATGTTTTAAGGGGATTTTTCTATGACAAACTAATTTGTTCCAAAGGATGCCAGCAATTGTACATCAGCTAGGGTGTGTGTGTGTGTGGGTGTATGTGTGTGTCTATCACCCTCCCCCTTCCCCAGCGGCGGGTGCACAGCGGAGCAATGCAAGTTCTATCACTGCTGGCTCCTAAAGGGGATTCTCCTGTAATCCATGCAGCAGAAGAATTACTGCAGCCAAACCCCCCAAGGTCCTAACCCAGTGATGGGCAACTGGCAGCCCGCTAGGGTTCTCTGTGTGTGGCCCACAAGACACTTTGCTGCCTGTTGCCCAAACACAAGGTTGCCAGATTCTGCTGGTTTTCACCCGCGTAGGTTTTTTCCTACTGGTGTTACTATAGCATGTAAAGCCAGGACATGTGCAGTGCGGTGCAGGCTGATCGCACGCAACACTGAGTGTGAGAGCCGTGCACTGCCTCTGCAGCCAGTCACAGCGCTGCTATGGTTCCATTGACACCCCTGCGCATTCTAGGTACACCAGAGCAGTGAGCAAAAGTGCCCTAGCCTGGGAGATCGTCTTGGTTACGACAATCTTGCAGCCCACAGGGATGAAGGAGGCCTCTCATGCAGCCCACTCACTAGCCTAGGTTGCCTGAGGCTGCTCTCACCCCATTGCTGAGTGGGGGGTTTGCACCATCTATGCAGCATAGAGTTTTGTCCTGCAGTGGCAGGTTCCTGCTAATAAAGCACAAGAACCATCTGTCCCCTCACCCTAAATTGCTTTACAAACACAGTCAATACCCTCATCCTCGCTTTATGGACAGAGAAACAACTTCCGCAAAGCCACCCAACAGCACAGCCAGGTACAGAACTCAAGTCTCTGAGTCCCAGCCCCATACGTGATCTGCCAAGCTGCCCACAGTGCCTCCTTAGGCCTCTCTGGCACAGAGCATGGCCAACATCTCTCGGCAAAGCCAGGAGCCAAAGGACACAGCACTAATACAAAATACAGAGAGTCCATCCCGTTTTGTTCCACGCCTGCTGCTTCTTCCTATACAGGATCTTTACAGGCCAAGAGATGCTCTAAATGTTTCCATCTAAGGCTACGTCTAGAATACATCCCTTTTTCGTAAAAGGGATGTAAATTAGACATATATCAATTGCTAATGAAGCGGGGATTTAAATCTCCCCCGCTTCATTAGCATAAAAATGGCTGCCGCTTTTTTTCAGCACGGAGCTTTGCCAGAGAAAAGCGCCAGTCTAGACGCTGATCTTGCAGAAAATAAAGCCTTTTCCGAAAGATCCCTTATCCCTCTTGAAATAAGGGGTAAGGGATCTTTTGGAAAAAGCTTTATTTTCCGCAATATCGGTGTCTAGACTGGTGCTTTTCTCCGGCAAAGCTCCGTGCCAAAAATAAGCGGCAGACATTTTTATGCTAATAAAGCGGGGGAGATTTAAATCCCCGCTTCTTTAGCAATTGAGATACGTCTAATTTACATCCCTTTTACGAAAAAGGGATGTAGTCTAGACATAGCCTAAATGTT